ATGAGGTGTGGAGCTGGGTGCAGGGAACCAAGCCTTCAGGCCTGGGGGCTGTATTCATGAAATAGCCAAGGAGGGAATACAGAAAACACCTTCCTCAGTGCTTCTTTCTGTACAGGCTCCCCACTACCTCCCCAGGGTGGGAATCCTAGAAGCAGCAGAAAAGAGTACACCAAGGGATTGTCCTGCTGTAGTGTGTTTTGTAGGAAAAGAAGGATAAGACAAAACAGACTACAATAATTGCAAAATATCCCTGCTCTGAAATGAGGCAAACTGCCAGAGAGCTCTTATGCAAAAAAAAAAAAAAAAAAAAAAAAAAAAAAAAAAAAAATTCTGGGGATTCAGCTCTCTCACACATAAACAACTCCCTTTCAAAGTCAGAGTCCAGGGCAAACAGGCACACAATTCATATACATTCTGCTCCCTGCTGCTCTTGTCCAGCAAGCTTTAGAAATCAAGTATGTTCCACCCAATCAGTGTCAACATCATTTCTGTCACAGCCACCACCAAACAGTGCAAGCTTGAAATTTATCAGAATTTAGCATAATCTGTTTGGTTTGAGTAATTAGTTACTCTTTCCCAGTTCTGCCTTCCCATGCAGGAGGGAAGGAATTGTTATCAGAAGGTGATGCTTGCCAGAACACAGGGTGCCCTCTGACAAGGAGGACTTCAGCTCCATTAAACATCCCCACGCCCTCTGAACAGAAAACTCAGTGTTCTGTATTCTTATGGCTTGGAACAAGCAAATATTTCCTCACAAGCAAATATTTCCTCCTGTACATTTCTAAAGTGACCTCTCTTGCACAACAGCAGTATGCATTCAGGCAGTTCACTCTAATTATTGCTTTATAGCATTTTGCATCTGCTTCTGTGAAGTCACTGAAGTTGCTAGTATGTTTTCTTGAGTTGTTTTATTTTTAAACAACTTGTTTCTGTGTCTGTCAACAGCTGCACTCTTCATTTTACACACTTTGAATGCATTCGTTTTCTACATTGTGTCTTGATACTGCAGCTCAGCTCCAAATTGTAACCCACAGCAATCTTTTGACAGGCTGTCTGTTAGGCTTTCAGGTTTTCTTCCAGATTCATAGAATTTGTTCTTGAATGACAAATAATACAATTTCAGCCCTCACAGAAATGTAAGAACTGCTAGTGGAAGTTTCACAGGGTTTTCTCAGTGTGCCAAAGAGCTCTCCATCCACAGCCAGAAGCAGGCTGGAACACATGGTTCGAATCCTTGGACTTAGCTGGTGTCACCCACTCCATCAAGGTGGGTCAGTCTCTTCTCCCAGGTAATAAGCAATAGCACAAGAGGGAAGGAACACAAGTTGTACCAGGGAAGGTTTAAATTGGATATTAGGAAAAAATTCTTCACTGAAAGGGTTGTGTAGCACTGCAACAGGCTGCCTGGGAGGTGGAGGCATTTAAGAGTTGTGTAGATGTGGCACTTAGGGACATGGTTTAGTGGTGGACTTAGCACTGCTGCTTTAACAGTTGGGCTCAGTGGTCTTAGAGGTTGTTTCCAACCTTAATGATTCTATTGTGGGTTCCATCTCATTTGTAGTAAAATAATGGGATTCCAAAAAACCCTCAGAATAAAAGTATAGTACTTTAAAAAGTGTAGTTTAAGTTTTGTAGTTCCAAATTAAATGCATTTTCTATGAAATGTTTCAGTCACTTTTTAAAATAACAGATTTGTATCCAGTGAAAAAAGTGTTGTCTAATATATCTCTGAGGCAATCTCTCTTGAAAACAGTCTACTGCAAAATTTCAGATGTTCGTGTTCATAGACCTTGTCTCTATTTCTTTCTTTCTGTGGTTCATCAGTGCATTTTCTTAAGTGTGAATTTGTTAGATTGAGTGGGTTCCTTCCTTTCTAAGTTGTAATAATCTCAGATGGTGCTACAGTGCCTCAAACCCAGGCAGACTGGCAGGCAGTAACAGTGACCTGCTGAGACTGGTGGGGGTGCTCAAATGGGTGAGGACACCTGTGCGCTGCATTATTCTTCTGTTGGTGTTTGAGAACATTCAAGTCACAATTAAGCAATTAGATGCATATCAGTGTTTGCTTGGTCTTAATCTTCCTGATAAAATACCTGGGCGGTACCAGTTTGGACAGAACTCGGGGATTAAGTAGCTCAATTGAAAAAGCTGAAGTTGATATAACTGAGGCAGTGACATTCTTTCAGGTTGCTCTGTGTGACTTCTGTTATTGCTGACAGCAGCAGCCAGCTCTGTTACTGTGCTCTAAGCAATAAGGCACGCTAAGCAAAACTCCGGTGATGTTACTGTGCTTCATAATTTTCAGCCACAAGCAGGACACGGGCACCCCAATTTTAAGATTGTGCTTTGGTAAAGTAGGATTTTGAGACTGCTAAAGAGCAAAGGTGTGAGTTGCCTTGTGTTGGTGGGATTCCATACTGTTCATGACCAGGGGGTGACAATCCTGCCCTGTCCCTGACAGGTGATGTGTCCAGGCCATGTCTCTGGGGCAGAGAGGGTTAAGCCACTTTGAACAAAGGCTTGCTTCATGTCTTCTCTTCCTCGAAGGGAATGAGAGAAAGAAACAAAAGCAAGATACAGAAAAAGCTGTTGTCAAACAAGCCCACTGCTGTTCTCTGAAAAACAAGTATGTGAGGATTCATTTTTAGAGGCGTGCTGAAGCAGCGGGGCACTGGAGGGTGGCCACAGCCACTCTTCCTCCAGGGGCTGTCATTGCCCTGCCAGTGCCAAGGACTAAAATTGCCTGGCTTCTTAGAAGAGGACGTGGTCCTGACTGTGTGCCACAAGAAAATGTCTGCTGTACAAAACCACAAGCTATTTCCCACTCCAAAGCAAAATCTTTAATCGTAGCTGTTGCTGCTGTAATTGGGGGATGGCTCCTGTGTGAAGAGGAGCCTTTCTGTCAGCATATTGAGGGGCTGGGAGGTGTCTGCCATCTCAGACAGGTGTTTGTCTGTGTAAATGAACATTCTTTTCATGGCCGACTGAAAGGTCAATTTTCAGCTGACAATTGAAAAGTTGAAATAAGCAAATGCATCTAGGGAAAACAGCTAATTCTATGGCTCATAGCAGTGTTGGCACCTTTCACCACAGACAATGAGTCTATTGATTCTGCACTCCTTGACCATCAAGAAAGTAGTTATTACAAAAATTTTTTGGCATTGATTTATTAAGGGGTGGTTATTTAGTATTTGGACATCCAGAAAAGCAAGGGACTGCACTTCCTGAAGCTGGAAGAATGGTATGAAACTGCAATGTATTGCTCTCACATGGTTGCCAGTGTGTGCATCTTAGCATACTGCTCCAGCTGTTTCTTGCAAGTGCACCAGAATGTGCTGCTAAATGGAAGTCTAGAAATAGTAATTACAGATTTCAAATAGTCCCAGGTAAGACCACAAAAAAGAATTTGGAACATAGGGAGCTATGGACTTTTATGTTTCCTTATATATACAGATATATAAGTATTTTGAAATCTGTTAAATGAAATCACACTCCATTAGGCAAATTCTCTGAGAATACAGAGGAATATATATGTCTTTGAAAAAATGTGTTTGTGAGCTTGCAACATCACAGCTTTTTAAATTACTTATATTCTGAAAGTGCTAAACCCCATAAACTTTAAATTAGACTTTTCAAAACAGAATTCAGCCTTTTCAATCCAATTGCAACATGTTTTATTTGCCTACACGAACTGAAACATAAAATGATGACAACAATTATTCCTGGAAGGTATTAAAAAGTTGATCTGTATGCATAAATTGAATTATGGCTCTGGCAAATACGCACTATAAGCAAACAGACACAGTATAAACACTTCATACTCCTCTAACAACTACTGCCAAGGTCCTCTAATCATTTTAACTCAGTGCAGACTGTTGCTGTGAGATAGCCTGCCTGTATTCGATTACATATGCTCAAAAATAGGAAGATTAAAGAAACAGTGAAGGGGACAAAAGAGATTCCTTGAAAAACTTAGGGAGGCAAGGCCAGAAGAGAAGGTAGTGAAGATGGAACCAGCTGCAGTCTCAAGGACTGGCTGTTCAAATTCCTGAGTGACACAGAGAAACCATAGGGGAACCCAGCTGCCAAGAACTCTAAAGGCATTTCAACAGCACATTTGTGAAGTGCAATTTTGCAAAAGACTTATAAACTGACCACACTGGGCAGGTTTTCCTGGGGTTAGGAAAAGACATGGTCTTGCCATGAAAACTACTGCTCTGCCAGACCTGATGTTCTGCTACAAAGCGTAGTTTTCCTCGTGGAATTGATGTTATACTGTTCCTTGGCTATTAGAGTTGTTAAATAACAACAATAACCACAAGCAAGCAGCTCTCCAACATGGAAAATTTCAATATTTGCACAGAGCAAGGCTTGCTGCAGTGAAAATCAATGTTAGAATACCAGGGAGGGAGCAACCCAGCAGTAGTGTGTGTTGTGCCCTCCAGCCACCCCAGGGACAGAGTATGTGTTTTGTTGCTATTCCGGTTACAAGTCAGCACTGAAAACTCGTTGCCCATCCACAAATGTGTGCTTCTAGAAAGTAACAATTTAAAAAACTAATGGGAAAGTGTATCATAAAGTGGGGTTGCTGTTTTCACCCAGATGAATGCTCTGGGGGTAAATGCATTCAAGACTTGGAGATGCATCCATCTTGCAGTACTGAGGAACCACTCAGCCCAGTGGCCTGGACTGTCAAAGACTCTTTTCTTCTCTAAAAGTTCCTGTGTCATGCAACTCAGTGTTGATCTTGTTGCTGGACTCCAGGACTTGAACAGAAAATAGGGAATATTGCTCAGACATTGAATTTTAATAACATGATGGTCAGTTTGTTAAGAATAAGGCAAATGACCTAACACAACTTTTCACCTTCAGTCTGTATGAGGTTTACCCAGGGTCCATGTGCTGTTTGCAGCAAATGTAGGATGCACTGTGAAGGTCCTGAGCTGGGGAAGAGGTTTTAACTCCATTTTCTCCTATGTCTTTGGAACCTTTCTCTTTAGGACATCTTCCACAAACCGTGTCCAGAATGCCTGCTATATGAAAAAGAAAGGAGATCCTTGGAAACCATATGCAGATGGCCTGAACCAAGCTAAAAGTGGAGAGAAAGAACAGACAGCCTAGGTAGGTGATGAAGCATATGTTCTACAAATCCAGACTGCCTTAAGCTAAAGCAAACAAAGCAAGCTGGGGAAAGTTACAATGGTTTAGATTTCCTAAGTACAACAAGTTTTATTTAATGTTTGAAACAATTTTCCCTTAAGGGATGTCCTTTCATTTTAAGTTGAAGAAGGCTGACAACTCATCCTATGAAAATTTTTTCCTTTTGCTGGAAAGAATTAATTTTTTGGCTAATCCAAAATATTATTTTCCCCTCTCGTGTTCATCACCCACCTTTCAGTATGACTCCCTCACCATTTCAGCCCATTACTTGCTTGTTATTTAGAAAAGAAGTAGATTTTCCATAATTGCTCTCTTATTATTTTTGCTAAATAACCTGATCTGATGTGGCAGTTTGTATGCTTTAGAATTATAGCTTTCTCAAGTGCTCAGATGACATGAAATGGAAATGATGCCTAACTCAAGCTGCTCAGTGCCAAAACACGGTTCTGGAAGGAGAATGGGCATCTCCTCGAGACCTAATCCCCCCTGTGCTAGTAAGTTGTAAATGACCAGTTCAGAAATCTACACTCCAACAGCTCACAAAGTTTCCCAATGGCCCCAAGAAAACCTGGTCTGTGGTAAAAGACCTGGCACCTTTGTTTATTGTTTGATGGGAAGAGGAGAGAGCGAGTGCATCCTGATCGGGAGGATCGTGGCCCTGTTGGTCAGAGCGAGAGGCAGAGACTGCAATGGGCAGTAAAAGAAGATTTGCTTTACACTTAGGTAAAATGTTTTGTGCCAATTAGGACAATTCAGCTCTGCTACAGATTGCTGGGGAGTGAGGATCCCATTCAGGAAAGTCTTTATGAATACCTATCAAAATGGTATGGCTGCTTCATCCCGGGGTTGGATGTCTTTCTCTGGTTCTGTCCAGAGTCTTCTCTGTATTTTTTTCTGATTCATAAAATATTCGTTAGCTGTTTTGTCCTCTTCTGCCATAACTTATTTATAGTGGTAAAATTCAGACTCACTTCTGAAGCAATTTTCCACCATTTCCTCTGAAATAGTATTCCCTGCCTGTTAGCATTCTAAGCCTCTAGTCAGAGGAAAAAATAAACAGCCGGAAGATCACCAATCTAAGATCATATCCACAGGCAGAAGAAATCCTCAGAAGTTATGAGCACCCTGGGGATCACCTGAAACTATGGCTTTCAAAGAGTTTAGCAGGACCATGCCTTCACACCTCATCTTTGTAACCATCCCAAATTAGCCTATGTGCCACCTTTTCCATTTCTGGAAGCACATAAGCTCCAGCCATGCTCAAACCTATCCCACTGTCCACACACAGAGTCTCCAAAACCTTGCATTGATTAGCAATTCTCATGAAGGTGGAAATACCCTGTGATGCCTGATCCAGGAGTTTTCTGGTGGGCATAAGGTCCATGCACAGGGACTCATGAGTGCCAGTGACACAAGTGCCACCGAGTTCACATGGCGGTGGGGGTCAGTGCAGGCAGGGCAATGACACTGGTTGCAGCCCCGAGAGGAACATTAGAGTATTTTGCTCTTCTGACACCAGCAAAATGAATGACTGTGGTAAAGTTTGAGATCCATTTGTGCCTATTGCTGGGAACAGGAAGAGGAGCAAGTAAATAAGACTGGATGTGTTATGGCTAGCTGTCTTTCGTTCTCTTTGATCATTTGAAAAGAGAGATGACTGCTTACTTTAGGTTATTAGGCATGTTTGTTATACATAAGGATTCATGGACTTAGTCATGCTTTAAAAAAAAATTTGCTAGAATTACAGTGACTATTAATTAAAATTCTGTGACTGTTCTGAATGAAGATAGCAGTAAGTATCAAGGCACTGGGTAAATGCATTGTGCTAGTATAATGTTTCCTTATATTAAAGGACAACACAAACTTAAAGAAGAGAAATGTGGGTAAATAATGTGTTAATCAGTGATAAATTTAAGCATATACACATAAATAAAATTTCATAACTTTATGATGATTTATTACCAAAGCCAAAATATTTCCAGAGGAGTAGTTTTCCACTGGAGGAAATAATTCTGTGGAGCTGTAGCAACATAGTGACAACTTTTACATATTGTTTGGAAGAGGAAAATTTTATTAAAACATGAAAGGCCAAGGAATTTTATTCTGTGGATTGCTAGAAATCCAGAAAACAATTAACTGTGGGCAAATCCTAAGGAATTACTTTTCTCTGAACTTGTTTAGAGAAATTTATTCACAGACAGTTCACATTGAACATCACACTGAGTAACCAGCAAAATACATTTTTTAATGGTGATCGCTTATGGCATAGAAAAAGAAACCAGTTTAAAAGAAAAAAAAGGATATTGCTTTGCAAACTCTGTTTTGTGTAGCTCCTTCTGTCAAAACCTTTGTGGGGAGACTGATCCCAGCAGGAAAGCAATCTTCTGGAAATTACAGCAAAGTGGAGTGTTTCCCAGATGGGTGGAAAGTTCCCTCTTGATGCGCAATAGTAGCTCCAAATAGGTGAGAGCCATGCTTGTAGGATCCTGGGAGTGCTCTTTGGGTTTCCTGCTATAAACAGTAGGCATTAAAGTCAAGCAAAGTTTAACTTTCCTGATAAACTGAAGCACTGAATTCAGCTGCTCAGAAGGCTGCAAGAGTTCTCTGGCAGAGGCTGTTGTCATTTGTCTAAACTGAAAAAGCTGTGAAAGCACAGGTTTAACAGAGCTCCTGAAACTGTGCTAGGACACTTCCTGCAAAAATGAGAAGGAGGGCAGATATTTTAAGGTTAAAAAAGGGTGGAAACTGAGATATTCTACAGTCTTGCTTAATGTTCTGCTCTGCTTATTGACTGGAGAAGTGATTTGGTTAAAAGGTGGTGGAATTTCTTTTTGTTCTTCTCACTGAGTTTCTAAAAGGCCAAATACTTAGGCTGTGGATTTTTAGAGGGAAAACTTTGATGTTTTTCTCAAGGTAAAGCAAGGCAAATTTGAAATAGGAGCCTTCCTACAACCAAAACATGAATGTTTAAATTTACTCTGAAAGTAGGCTGAGCCTTACAACTTTCTGAACTTTCTTCTGACAGCCGTGCCCCTTGGGGGCTCTCTGAGGTCCTGCTGCCCACCACAGCCCCAGATGCAGTCTTAGCGTCACAAAACCTGTGGGATCATATGTCAGCCCTGCAGTGATTGTTCCTACAACATCCAAGGCCCTCACCCTGCAAAGAGACATTGTAAGATATCTCCTTCCACCTACTGCTCTCCTACATTTGGGTGGATAACTCACAAAATTGTATGTGAATGGCCCAGTGCAAAGCATGAATTTAAGCCCCCTGGGACCGACATGTAGGAGGAATTTGGAGTGTTAAATGTCATTTCTCTCAAGCTTCTCTTTTTGCTTTTTCTTGCCTGCCTGCTTTAATTTTCAAGGTCTGAGGAAACTGCAAGTATAGACAACCAGCCCTAGAGGCAGGGGATGTGTGTGAGGTGCTCCTGTACTGTGCAACCCTTACAGGATGAATTCTTCCACTGTCTCCTGGTTCTGTGTGGGCATATCCAGGCCCTTGCCCAGGTGTTGGGGTGCCACTGCCCATGAGCAGGAGCTGCTCCCAAAGGCAGGGGCAGCAGAGCTGTGCACAAGTTGCTTTCCTGCTATGAGCTTCAGCTTCCTCCTCTTGGGAAATACGGGAAAGGCAAGGGGGGAGGGAGGAGTTAGTTCACAGCAATTCCTGCAAAGACTGTGATTCAGTTATTTGTTCTTCTACGAACGCCCTAGCCAGATGACTAAGGCAGATCTGCAGGCTGATGACCCAGAAACAGTAGAGCTAAATTTCACACGTAGTGGAAAGGAAAAGTAAGTTAAAAGCCATATACAGACTGTTATCTTCCTACTTTCAGTGGTTTGCCTCCCAGTACAAGCCCTGGCCAAAGATATAGCACAGAGATTTGCTCAGGGGTTTTTATCTTTTTTTCCACCTCTTCCTCATCTCAAGAATCTGGGCTATCTGAGGTTACCTACACCTGTGACTTTTGAAATCAGCAGCAAATAAGCTCACCACAGCTGCTGGGTCTCTCAGATGGGAGGATTGGGGTGGGCTATTTCCTTTTCTTGTTGAAGTTCAAGGTGCTGAGATGGAGGCTGCTGGGTTTACTACACCTTTTCTTTCCCTCAGGTAAGACATTTTTCCTTGAAGGGCAGGTGGAAAGGAAAAAGAGGAGTGTTAAGTGTAATAAATCTGTTTTGGTAGCCTGGGCTACTAAGCTCCTGCTGGAGACGCAGGAACCTGTCTCTACCTTTATCAGAGGATGGGTCTGTGAGATGGCTGCAGCAACTTCTGAGGAATTCAAGACAGACTGGATAAATGTAGGGCGAAAGGTGCTTCTTGTTGTTGCTTCAGGTTTATTTGTGAAAGGCCTTTCTGTGAACAGAAAACATAAAGCTACACTGCAAAGTGGGTGTGAAGCCATCTACTGCAGTCTAACTGGTTAAACTGTGCCTAATATCAACCTGATGCTAAGATAAAGCAAAGGGCTTCAGTATTTTGTTTGAATTTTTACATTTCTTTTGACTGCAGTGAAATTCCCTGGGAGGTTGTCTGTGGTGCCACTGCTGGGTTTGGGCTGCTGGGTTGCTCTCAAACTCTGATTCCTTAGTGAAGCATTGTACTTCTTGGGGTGCTCTGGATGCCTATGGAACCTGATGTACCTCATCCCAGCATCTGCTTGTGGGAACATGTGGCAGGACTCTGTAGAGGGCAGGATTCCCAGCCTGTGTATGTGCATACCTGCAGGAGCCTGCAATCATAAATACACTCAAACTCTTGGCTGAAAATCTCCAAATATCTCTGTTTTCTGGTCTTCCTTTTGGAAGACTAGCATTTTTATTTTTTTTAAGGTGCTTTAATGAAATACAACTTGAAAGTATTAAGCCCCAAACAGCAGATGACCCTAGCAGTACAAAAATCCCTTTAGAGTCCTCAGTCATGTAATCTTGTGTGCAGCATGCAGGGCAAGATGAGAAAGTTCTTCTCTTCTCATCATGTTCCTCTGTCTGGGTGACTAGGCAGTATCTGATGTAGAGGTGTTGTGCACTGGCCGTTACAGGAGCCACTACCTTCAAAACCCAATACCCTTGTTTGAGCCTTTAATAAGTGTAGCCATTATTTCCAGAAAGTGGCCCTGCATAGTTAAAAATTAATTCAAAAAATGAATTTTTATGAAAATGAAAATATTATGCTATTTGATTTTTTCTTTTTTTTTTTTTTTTGACTAATTCCTCAAATATATGAATATTTTCTCATTCCTGTACCATGATATAGACTATAAATGTAGAGGCTAGTGCAGCTCCCTTATTATATGGTTTGCAATAGGAGAAT